TGCATTTTTTTGCATTTTTGAAAAATCTAGTATCTCTGATCTGCAGGTTTCGTATTTGCGAAGCCAGTATTCGCAAATGCGAAGGTCCAGCTCACGCAAATGCGAAGGCTGGTTCGCAAATGCGAAACCAGCCCAGGCCTGACAATGATCGCAAATGCGAAATCATTCTCCGCAAATACGAAGGTCCAGGGTTCGCAAATGCAAGACCTTTTTCGCAAATGCGAAGGTCCCCTGATAGGCCTGAGTTCGCAAATGCGAACTAGAGTTCGCAATTCCCATAATTTGGTCGGGGTTCGCAATTGCGAACCCCTGTTCGCAATTGCGATAACTGCAGCCCAGCATATTTCATACTTAGTCGAATTTTAAGTCATTTTTCACCCCACTTTCGAAATACAACTCTTTGAGCGATTTTCCAAGAACAAGACTTCTTCCAAATCATTTGTAAGTTGGTTTTTACTCATTTCTTTCAATCTTTAACATCATTTAACATGTTTTCAACTTAAAAATCAATGGTTTTCATGGGTGAAATTGGGGGTTTTGGGTAGAACCTAGGTTTTCTATAAATTGGGGATTTGGACCTCAATTTGAGGTCCGATTTTAAAATAAATTGCGTATCTGAGTTCGTGGGGGAATGGGTAACCGGGTTTTGGTTCGAACCTTGGGTTTTGACCACGTGGGCCCGGGGGCGATTTTGGAATTTTTGGGAAAAACTTGGGAAAATCATTTTTATGCATTCAAATTGATTCATTTAGCGTTTATTAAAGTAATCGAGTAATTTGTGACTAAATTCGAGCAGATTGGAGGTGGAATCACGGGGCAAAGCGATGGTTGAGGTTTGAGTGGAATTCAAGGCATCGAGGTAAGTGTTTGGTTTAACCCTAGATTGAGGGAATAGGGGTTGAGTCTTATTTGATGCTTGCTAATTGTCGAGTACGATGTATAGGCATGGTGACGAGTATCTATACATTGGTGTCTAGCATGACCGTGAGTCCTTACTTTGCGAATAGTTTGGTTGTTGATATGCCTTCCATGCTTAATTGATGACTTCTATATGTTGTAAAGACCTTGTGAAAGAAATTGTGATCTTGAAACTTCGTGGAGCATTGGCTCGGGTCAAAATAAAAATTGTGAGGGTTTATGAGATAAGTAACTCTTTGGAGCACTGGCTCAAATGATAATGTGAACTATGAGATGAAAGTGAAAGAAAGAAAAGAGTTAATGATTTATTCCCTTGCCGGGATGTTGTTGGTTACTGATGTTGTACCCTTGCCGGGTCTTTAAATTGTTGATGTGTGCCCTTGCTGGGACTTCTATTCTTGTTGTATTATTTTCCCTTGCCCTTGTTTGTGATTGTTGATTGTGTGAGGAAGAGTGTTAAAGCACGAAGGGTGATGCCGTGCATTGAATGATATATATGGATCGGGTTGCGCGCCGCAACAATGTTAAATGATATGGATCGGGTTGCACGCCGCAACAATGTTATTAAATATTGGGATCGGGTTGCACGCCACAACAAGGATATTTATGGATCGGGTTGCACGCCGCAACAGTGTTATTAAATATTGGGATCGGGTTGCGCGCCGCAACAATCATTGATACGAGTGTGTATATTTTGTGTATTGGTTTCTTGTCCACTGTAAATTCCAAGCTGCCCTTAGATTGTTATTCTGAATTTACCATTAATACTGTTATCTCCCCACAGCATGCTTTCCCCCCCCCCCCCATACTGTTTACTTGTTTTGTATTTTCGATTCCGCTATATATATATATATATGTATATATATATATATATATATATAATGTTAAGGAAATTCCAATAGTTATCTTGCAATAATTTTCTGAATTAGTTTCAAATTGGCCATTGAACTTTTCCAATTGCTACAGTAAAGTCACAAAATTATTGTTTGTCACATCAGATTAGCTAAATTTTACCCGCTATGATGATAAAACATACCATCAACATGACTTTACTGTTATATAGGATAAAGTTCAGTACTTTAATGTGACAAAAAAAAGTGTGACCTTATTGTTATAATAAAGGGCAGCCCGGTGCACCCATGTCAGGGGAAGGGTCGGACCACAAGGGTCTATTGTACGCAGCCTTACCCTGCAAGAGGCTGTTTCCACGGTTGGAACTCGTGACCTCCTAATGTGATAAAAATAGTTTTGTAATTATAGTGAATAAAATTGATGCTCACTTGAATTGAGGAGTGTTGGAGGGCCATTGATTGTCATCAGTGAGAAGGAAGACATCTTCCCAATCCACATTTTCAACCTTATAATTGCCATTCTTCTTGGTCTCCGCTAGCTCATTAAGCAACTTGACTGGTGTTGAATTCTTGAAAGCCTCTTCTCTTTCCAGCTTAAAGCATTCTGCACACACTTTCTTCACCCTCTCAAGCAGCTCCACTGGTATCCCATGATTCACCAACTGCACAAATTAATTATGACTATCAACATGTAACAACTATGCCTCAGTTCGAGTGCTATATGAATTCTCGTTGACCATGTCAATGTAGAGATTCATCATACATTGACTAGTTTTTACGTTCACAATTAACCTACCACAACTCGCTTCCTTTATCCAAACTTGATGAGACCGGCAATATGAGCAAGTTCACGCAAGCATTCACAGTATGACTATCCATTATCCAAATATAGGAAGAAAATGAAGGAACTTTTTACTATGAAAATATAGCTTTTGAGGCCCATTTTACCATTAGCAGGAGAATAATGGTAAAAACTCAAGAAAGGATGAACGTCCTTGAGATTTATCGATATAAAAATACATTTTCCAAGTAAACAAGACAAGAAAATGAGGACTCAAAATAAGAATATTAAGAAGGGGTTCTATTATATTGTTGAGAAATTAAGAAACTTTCCTTTTGCTTATTATAAGCCTTTAGACGATGACCCTTTTAATATTTTAACCCTTTGGTGACGACCAATAGCAAAAAAATAACAGCAACACAAACCATATTTTGAACATTCAGACTAAAAAATAAACATATAAGTGTATATATTGCAGAAAATACCTGAAAAAATCCCCATTCTTCACAGCCTTTGGAAATCTGAGCCAAAGTTTGGGTTCTTTCCTCTCCAAGCTTTGAGAAATCAATCACCGGAATAGTCATTATATTGTTGTAGTAATAAAATGACAAACACAAAAACTAAACAGACAATAATAGCAGACAGATCCTATCTTTTTGAGGCTGGCACTGTTTTAATTTGGTGGTCTAGAAAATATTGACATGAACACCCTTTTTATAGCCAAAAATATTCTCATCTTATTCAATGTCAAATGTCTAAAAAAACATAAAGAAGTAAAACCAATGTAGCAGTTAGAGTAAGTTAAATGGACGGTGACAGATTAATATTTATTAATTTAAACAACAAGGTCAATGTCTTTGTGTGGCATTGCTTCCCTACAACAGAAGCCTTCTCCCTTACTTAGTATTAATCACAAAATAATTGATTAAATAAATACTTTCATGTTATTAGCAACGTCCCTTTTTCTAAATTCTAATCATTTTGCCTTACATGAGCCTACATTGGTAGCTGTCACATTTGAAGTCAACATTTCAAATTAAAGAACATATTGATGACTTGAAGTTAGTCAAATACATTAAGAAAATATTTTTAAAAGGAAATTATCATCAATGTTTCTAATTTAGCATAACATTTATATTTAAAACTTGCGAATTTATATATACGAACATAACATTAGCAGCCATTTTCATGCGAATCAGTTAAACATATATGTCACGATCCGGATTTTCCACCCTCGGGGGTCGTGATGGCGCCTACTCGTAGAAGCTAGGCAAGCCACACTCTTAGAATCCATAAGTACTTTTGTTTTAGATCCATTTTTACCAATTAAATTAGCAGGAAATAAATAATTAAACAACAGCGGAATTCGTAATTTAGCGGAAGACTTAAACGAAATAAACCAAGATAATAAGGAAGATCCACATATGCCTCTACCCAGAACTGGTGTCACAACATTCACGGACTACTAAGATTTACTACATACATCCGTTTGAAAGAGAGTAACATTTTCTGTCTCGAATACAAGAGATAACAGAACATAAATAAAGATAGAGGAGACACCGGGCCTGCGGACGCCTGCAAGGCTACCTCGGTGTCTCGGAGGACTGAAGGCTGGCTCCCGAGCTACTATTGCTGTCCGGTACCTGGATCTGTGCAAAAGAACACAGAGTGTAGTATCAGCACAACCGACCCCATGTGCTGGTAAGTGCCTAGCCTAACCCCGGCGAAGTAGTGACGAGGCTAGACAAGACTACCACATAACCTGTACAGTTACTATATATATCTACAGAGGGAAAATAACAGAATGACCATTTT